CGCGATTGTAAAAGACACTGAAATTCAAAGAACACTTGACACACTAAATTCGTACCACAAGAACATCAAATTTACAATAGAACAAGAAGAAGACGCTAAACTACCCTATCTAGACTCAATAATCAACAGACAAGGAAACGAAATAAAATTAAAATGGTATAAGAAACCGACTGCGTCAGGACGAATAATTAATTACCATTCTAGACACCCAAAAACCATGATCATTAATACAGCAATCGGCTGTATCAGACGGATGATAAACATATCGGACGAGATATACCATGACGAAATAAAAACTGAAATTAAAACAATACTGCGAGATAATGACTTTCCGAACAAAATCATCAAGACTCTTTTAAAGAAACACAGAACAATTAATAACAAAAAACAATCAGAACAACCAAAAACTTATATGTCCACTATATATGTACCCAAACTGTGCGAAAGATTGTCAAAATCAAACTGCTACAACAAAGACGGAATAATAATAGCCCACAAACCAACAAATACGTTAAAAGACTTTTTTTAATAAAACGAAATCAAGAGTATTGACAACAGAAAAAAACAATGTCATCTACAAAATTCCGTGCAAAGTTACCGACAACAAGCCATGCAACAACATATACATAGGCACGACAAAATTAAAATTAAAAACAAGAATAGCCCAACACAAATCTGACTACAAACTACGACACCATACTAACATCAAAAAAACAGCACTCATGGCCCACTGTGCGACAAGCGGTCACTCTCCGAACTTAGAAGAGACAGAGATACTGCAACAAGAACAACACTACAAGAAGCGGTATACTCTGGAGATGCTACACATAATCAACACTCCGACAAACATACGACTGAATTACAAGACTGACACTGAAAACTGCGCTCACATATACAGACACCTAATTAGAAGAAAAACAGTACAAAACTCCACGTCGAACAGAGCGGACGTGTAAAATAATGTAGGCCCAAAAAGTTATGTTTTTATTGTAAATTGTATGTTGATTAAATGTTTAACATTGTTATAGTTGCCCTGAAGACGGTTGACGACAGTTCAACCGAAATATATCGGACCAAAACGAAATAAAAAGCCTTTTATTTATGTTTATACTCCACCCCCCTCCCTGACCTCAAGCCGGCTCAACAGCATATAAACCAAGGAAAGGTCGCCGAAAAACCACAAATATTAAAATTATAGAATCCTAAAAATGCCATACTGGAAGAATGTGAATATATGTTGATAATTGTCGAAGTTCGACTTTTTTCTTGTAATTCTTCGATCGCTCCTATGGCAGCTATAATATATAGTCGTCCGATTTTCATAAAACTAAATACATTACATTTTAAAATAATACAAAATGGCCATGGTAGGTAGGTAGGTATAAGTTGTGAGGCAGCCCTGGCCACCTCCAAGTAGAGCTGAGCTCCGTTTTGTTCCACACCCTCGATTTGCTGTTGTCTGCGCCCTTCTTAGTACCAGCCCGTGTCATTCAGGTAAGCTAGGATGGCCGCTACTGGCTTCCGTCCCACTTCCCCTAATGACCCGAGTTGGTGTGCTCCGAAGTGTCGGGCTCTTTGTCTGTTGAGTGCCGGGCAGTGGCACAACAGGTGCTCTGGTGTCTCCTGCTCGCTTGGTTCTTTGCAGCTTCTGCATTGTGTGTTGTAGGGTAGACCCATCTTACAGGCTTGCGTGCCTACTGGCCAGTGGTCGGTGATGGTTGCTGTTACCCTCCTGATGTCCTTTTTGCTCTTGGATATCAATTCTGCGGTTCGCTTCTTATTGAATCCTGGCCAGCATAGTTTCGATCTTCTGTGCTCTGCCTTCGTCGACCATTCCTTGCTGGCTAGTTGTTTGAAATGGTCGTGAATTTCCGTCTGGACTGAGTTCAGGGAGATCTGGATGTCTGTTGTTGCTGAGTGTTCTTCTGACCGTTTTCTGGCCAGCTCGTCTGCTTTCTCGTTTCCGTCTATGTCATTGTGTCCGGGTACCCAGGCTATTTGTACCCTGTTGTCTTCTGCGAGTCTGTTTAGTGCCCCTTTACATTTGGCCACTAGTTTTGAAATCGTCCGTGCTTGTGCGAGGGATTTGATCGCCGCCTGGCTATCTGAGTATATCCTCACCTTGGTATTCCGAAGGCCTCGGTCTAGCGAAAGTTCGGCAGCTTACAGTATCGCGAGAACCTCCGCCTGGAAAACCGTCGCTGACTCTGGGAGGTGGAAGTATTCCTCCACCTTCCAGCTTTCGGCGTAGATTCCGGCCCCTACCCCGCCGCTCATCTTTGAGCCGTCGGTGTAGAGTGATACCTTATCCGGTTCGGTTACTCTCCCTCTCTTCCAGTCTTCCCTTGTAGGGTATATAGTGGTGTATGTGTTACCGAATCGCAGTTCGGTTGTCATGTAGTCTGTGTCTACTGTCTTCCGATAGTTTATCTCGTTCAGAATCCTGCAGTGTCCTGTGTGGTAGTCTTTCCAGCTTTGACTAGCCTTAAGTCGTACCGCACATTGTGCTGCAGTGTTCCTGATGAAATGCTCTATCGGTATTATGTTCAGGATGGCGTTCAGCGCCGCTGCGGGGCATGATCTCAGTGCTCCCGTGGCTCCTGCGCATGCCGATCTCTGTATCCTTGTTAGCTTCTGGACGTTGTATGCCCTGGTTAATGCCGGCCACCATACTAGTGCTCCGTATGTGAGTATGGGTCTTACCACCGCTGTGTAAAGCCATATTATTATCCTGGGGTGGATGCCCCAGTTCTTTCCGAACATCTTCCTGCAGGAATAGAATGCTATGCTTGCTTTCTTGACTCTCTCGTTGATGTTTTGTTTCCATGAGAGTTTTGCATCTAGTATCACTCCCAGATACTTTGCCTGCTGTGATATGCCATCTATCTTTGGCTTTGTGAATCTTGGGACCTTAGTTCTCCTGGTGAAGAGCATTAGTTCCGTTTTACTTGGATTTATGCCCAATCCGCAGGCTTTTGCCCATGCATTGAGTTTCGTGAGTGCCCTTGTCATTAGTTCGCTGATGACGTCGGGGAATGGTCCTGAAGTGAGTAGGACTACGTCGTCTGCGTATGCTACCACTTTTACTCCTTCGCTATTTAGTGTTCTTAGTACGTCGTCCATGTTTATCAGCCAGAGCAGTGGGGACAGGACTCCCCCCTGAGGTGTGCCCCTCTTCACAAATCTTGTGTGATGAGTGCCACTCAGTTCGGCTGTTATCCTCCTGCTCGTCAGCATTGCACCAACCCATGCCCTGATGCCTCCCTCTACTCCTATACCGTTGAGGGAACTCAGGATGGAATCCGCATTAACGTTATTAAAGGCTGCTTCTATGTCCAGAAAGGTGGCCATGGCGTAGTTTTTGAAAAGTAGAGCCTTTTCTATGTATCGCACTACCTCGTGTAATGCTGTTTCCGTGGATCTGCCTTTCCTGTACGCATGTTGCGCATTGGAAAGGTTTTTCTCCGTTCTTTCTCTTATGTGAATATCAATGATCCGTTCCAGTGTTTTCATTAGGAAGGAGGTAAGGCTTATCGGCCTATAATCCTTGGCTTGGATGTGTCCCCTTCTTCCTGGTTTTCGTATGAAGACTACCCCCGCTTCCTTCCATGGAAGTGGTATGTGTGCTGTTTTAATGCATGCCTGGAAGATTGCTTGCAGCCATTTTCCCGTGCTTGCTTTCGTTGTTTGTAGCATTGCCGGTATTACTCCGTCTGGACCCGGGCTTTTGTATTTGTCGAAGGAATCTATCGCCCAATGGATTCTTTCCATGGTGGCTTTCCAGTATTCTAGGTTCTTCTTTTTGGTTTCCTGGGAAATGCGTATTCAGCAGGATTTCCAGTGACTCTTCAGCCGACGTACTTCCTGTCCCATCGGGTTTGTTTATGAGCGTGGGGCTTGTGTGTCCTCTCGATAGGATTTTACTTAGCCTCGCCGTGTCTTTGACTCCTTCAAGCGATTCACAGTAGCTGCTCCAAGATTCCTTCTTGGCTACGTAGATTGCCTTTTTGTATTCTTTGTGTATTGCTTTGTACGGCTGCCAGTCTTTGGTTCCGTAACTAGTGTTGAAGGCTTTTCGAACTTTCTTTCTGAGCTCGCATAGCTCTTTGTTCCACCATGGTGGGTATGTCTTCTTAGAGTATGTTAGTCTGCATGACTCTTTGTAGGCTTTGTTTAGAATATTTGTGAAGTCCTCGACTTCCTTATCTATTCTCTCCGGGGTGGATCGGGTCTTGATCCTTCTGTCTTTGACCTTTGACTGTACAATCTTTCCGTATTTGTCCCAGTCAGTTTTTCGAGGGTTTCGCTTCTGCGCCGATTCACATACCTGCATCACGATTTCGAAGAATATGTACCTGTGGTCTGAAAACGAGTCTTGTGTAGAGACTCTCCAATTTCTTACCTTATAATCACTATGTTCCATTAGGAGGGTTATGTCTAGGACTTCCTCCCAGCCCTGAAAGCCTTCCGTGCTTGGAAAGATGAAGGTGGGCGTGTTTCCCTTGTTACAAATATTGACGTCACGACATATAATACTATCGAAGAGAGACTTACCCCTTTCGTTTGTCTCCGTACTTCCCCACAGTGTGTGCCTTGCGTTGGCATCGCACCCGAGGATGAGCGTCGTCTTAGTCTCCTCGGCATCACCCTATTAACCGCTTCAGGTGGTGCAGGTTCGTCGTGGGTCATGTAACCGGAGGCTATTAGTATGGCTGTCCCATCCGCCGCCTTGAATCTTGCCACTGCTAGATCTAAGTTGCTGAGATTGGGGTAGAGAAGAGCATTAAGGTTGTTTTTAATTATTATACCCGCCCTCGGCCTACCTGTCGAGTTTGTCTATAATGTTGTGTATCCCTTTATGGCCATGCCAGAGATTCGTCCGTCTCTTGTCCATGGCTCTTGTATCAGGCCGATGTCGATGTCCTTCTCACGGAGGACGACCCCCAGATTAGCTGAAGCGTGGGAGCTGCGCTTCAGGTTTATCTGAACGACCGTCGGCATTAGATTGGGGTGGTGTTGGGGGTGCTGTCGTCGATCGCCAAATCGTCCAGCAGCTTATTGGCGTCTTCGACTTCATCTTCCAGAATATCGTCCGGTTCGTCTAGGAAGACCTTCACCTTGGCTTTCCTGATGCCGTACCGGACTTTGTTTTCTGCTGCCTTCAGCTGTTCTAGGCAGCGCTGGTTGATCAAGAATAGGTATGGCTGGCTGGACTTCATTTCACGTTCAGCTTTGAGAATGGCCCAGTCCTCCATATCAACTCCCTTGTTCATCGCTCGCAGAGTCTTGAGCACCCTTTCATGGCTAGACAGCCCCTTGGGTAACCAGATGCGAGCTCTGGGTCTCCTTGGGATGTCCCTGGCGGGGACCAGCTTAATGCTAATCCCCTTCCATGCCTTGCCTAGTCTGGCAACGCAATCCGCCAGGAAGTCCCGCGAGAACTCATCGTCGCACCTGATCACCCGGTGCCCCCTAACCATGTCCGAGGAGTCAAAGGAGGGTGACTGGCCCGTTGGCTCGGACAGTAGTTTGTCAGTCACCATCTCTGCCAACTGGGTCTCGACCTCCTCCCATTTCTCCATCAGAAGGCGCCCATCGTCGTTGAGCTTATCAACAAGGGCCATAGCGAGGCTATCTCGGGCCACCTCGCTGAATTTTTTCGACGTTTTGACAAAGGTGGTCGGTCTTGGGGCGCCCTTCGCGTCTTTGGCTCTCTTCGGAGCGCTCTCGCTCACTTCTTGTGAGCGGTTGCGCTTCGTTTGGGGAGGCAAAAGCGTTTCTGGGTGCTCCTTTTCGTATCGCTCATACTCCTCGATCACTGCGAGGTACCTAGTTTTGTCTGCTAGGTCGCGCGGATCGGCTTTTCACTCCTTGCTATTTTGGCGAGGATGAAATGGGCCTTGCTTGCTTGCGCCTTTCGTTGCTGGTTGGTCCACGGTTTTGACTTCCCGTGTTCGCCCGTCGCTTTGGCTTGGCTTGCCGCTGCTTTGCATGTCGTTGGTTGTATCGCTTGAGGTGTGCTGGTCTTAGCACTTCCCTCTGAAATGGACGGAGCCAGAGTCTCATCATCTGAGCGCAGTAGCTCCTCCTCGTCCAATTCACTATCAGTCGCCGGTTGTTGGGGTTTTACCTCCCCCACGAGGTCCGAAGCGGATTTTTTGGTTGAATTCATATTCATAAACGCCCGCCTTGCTCGACAGGGCGAGCGCGGCGGGCCCGAGGGGTTTGGGGCATTGAAGTAAGGTCGACGGTGGCTTCGCCCCTAAGCCACGGCAAGGCTCGTTCCAACCCAGGGTTGCCCGGCCTTGGGAAGGCTCCGTTCTAACACAGCTGATTTGCCCCCTCAGCTGCGAACCTTATAGTCAGTGGGCACGGGTCGCTTTACACACCTGACTTGAGGGGAGGCAGTTTCAAGACTTGCCCATGTCTTGGTAGGGATTGGGAGTCAGAGGATTATTGGGTGCGGGATTCACAGGAGGTGCCGCTCGCATTGGCCGTACCGTAGTACGTTTCCAGGAGGTACCACGCGGAGGACCTTCTCTGAGGAGAAGGTGGTGTCTATCAGACTGATATTCACCTGCGAGTCGACTTGGTGTTCCATTTGAGCCAAGGAATATTCATCAACAGTTGCCCTGTTGACTTTGCCTTGGATTGTCGCACCCTTACCACCCCAAAATGGCCATATCTCAAAAAAGATAAATATTCGTTGAAAAACAAAGAAGTTAAACTTTTTTTCTAAAAATTTGTAGATAGTTCCTATCGCAGCTATAGAATATAGTTGTCCGATTTTCATAAAATTAAATACGAAATTAGAAAAAAATACAAGATTACCATATCTCAAAAAAGATAAAAATTCGTTGAAAAACAAAGAAGTTGTAATTTTTTTCTATTAATTTCCTGCTCGTTCCTATGGCAGCTATATGATATAGTCGTCCGATTTTCATAAAATTTTTACCAAAATTCAGGAATAATATAAAATGGTCATATGTAAAAAATAGTGCAAATATGTTAAAAAACAGCCAAGTTATAATTTTTTTTCTAAAAATTGATTGAACATTTGTATGGCAGCTATATGATATAGTCGTCCGATCCGGCCCGTTCCGACATATATAGCAGTGAGAGCATATAGAAGACTATATGCAAAGTTTTATTCAGATAGCTTTAAAACTGAGGGACTAGTTTGCGTAGAAACAGACAGACAGACGGACAAACAGACAGACGGACATGGCTAAATCGACTCGGCTGTTGATGCTGATCAAGAATATATATACTTTATAGGGTCGGAAACGTCTCCTTCACTGCGTTGCAAACTTCTGACTGAAATTATAATACCCTGCAAGGGTATAAAAATGGCCAAGTTAGCGAATGAAATCGTCACTAACTGCAAAACCTGCTCAAAAGCAAAATATGACAGACATCCTAAAAAACACGAACTCGGCGAAACGCCAGTCCCGTCTCATGTGGGAGAAATGCTACACATAGACATTTTCTCCACCGATAGGAAATACTTCCTCACATGCATTGACAAATTTTCCAAATTTGGAATGGTCCAACCAATTCCCTTTAGAACCATAGAGGACCTTAAGCCGGCTTTACTACAACTCCTTAATGTTTTCCCTGAAGCCAGAGTCATTTACTGCGACAATGAACCATCATTGAACTGGCACACCATCCGGACCATGCTGGGAAATCACTTCGGAGTTAGCATCTCGAATGCACCGCCACTCCACAGCGTCTCTAACGGACAAGTGGAGCGATTCCACAGCAGTCTGACGGAGCTTGCCAGGTGCCTTAAAATTGACAAAGGCATCAGCGACACCGTGGAGTTGATCTTACTGACTTCGACCAAGTACAACAAATCTATCCATTCGGTTATCGACAAGAGACCGGCCGACGTGGTAGTCACACAATCAAGTAACCCGCAGTGCGATATACAGGATAAGATTAGGCAGGCCCAAGATAAGCTCAGAAGCAGGGAAAATGCCTCCCGACAGAACAGGGTGTTCAATGTCGGCGACAAAGTCCTAGTTAAATCCAACAGGAGACTGGGCAACAAGAATGAAAACTGTGGAAGCGGACATGGGGACCACAGTCCTCATTAAGGGGATGGTGGTCCACAAGGACAACCTTAGGTAGGCGAAACACAAACTCATTGTCATTTGCCTGATACTTTTCTTACCATTTTTATCCCTAGCCATTTGGCATTTTTTTATTATTACTGTATTTTACCATTTTTTACCATTTTTTATCCCTAGCCATTTGGCATAAGCTGTTTCATTATTACTATTTTTTATTTTTTTCATACCATTTGGCATAAGTTTTTTCATTATTACTATTTTTTATTTTTTTTCATACCACTTGGCATAAGTGTTTTATCACCGCTATTTTTTGTCATGCTTTATGTTTCATCCTTTGGTGGTGTTACCCCAGTAGATTTATAAAATACTACAACATATTCAAAATTGCAGGTTTACACCCTTGCCTCTGCTATTCCTTTTTGCCCTGACATCGGCGCGTGTCACAGATTAGTCACAGGCCAAATATATTCCCGTCATTGACGGAAAGATTTTAGTATAGGAGGAATTCGCATCGCTAAGACACTCGGCGAATCTCTCAGAAGAAGAAACTGGTGGTATGACGAACATGTTTCCGCAGTCTCACATGCAGAAGCTTTTGAGCGTAGATATCGCTCACCTGCATGACCAGCTCGAATCACTGAGCATTCACCATAGAGTAGCCAGGAGTTTAGACTTCCTGGGAGCGGCCTTAAAGGTAGTGGCAGGAACGCCGGACGCAGAGGACTTCGAAAAAATTAAATTCAACGAATTTCAGTTAAACAATGCAAACAATAGGCAAATTAGTATCAATAGTAAAGTACAAGACCAAATCAATAAAATGTACACCACTATCTTATATTGCAAGACGATGATGCACTATGTACAGTACATATCAAGTGGAACTTGCGACACCAAGCACGTGCTTGTTCTGTTAGCAATTAGTAAACGCGAAGGACTTAAAAAAAAGGATGCGGGGAAACTACTACTGGCGTACTGCCGGATTGGTTGCTTGCATGCGTAAGTAGGTTAAGATTGAAGTTTTTAGTTTTGGGAGGCTATCAACGTTAGATATTATTGTGAACAAATCGTTATAATTCGCACAGAGGACTCTAAAGGGTTCATGCAATTCAAAGGATGTTCTACAGTGGGGCAAAACTAATGGTAAAAAGGATCTAGTGTTTCTTATTGGTACGTGAAAATTTAACTGACCGAGCAAGTCAGTACTTTCCACGTTACCACGGATTAAGTTGTATAAGAATGTAAAACCTAGCATGATTCTACGATTAGATAAGGAGGGTAAGTTAATTAGTATGAGTCTACTGGAATAAGACGGTAACCTCTGGTTTGCATCCCAGTTGAAACCGCGTAAAGCGAAAAGTAAGAAGTTCTTTTGAACCGATTCTATGCGTTTACTATGGACGCCATACTGAGGGCTCCAAACGCAGGATCCATATTCGACCACCGTTTAATGAAACCAAGCACACCCCTGGCTTTATTCACCATGCACGAAATATGATCGATAAAGTCGAGTTTAGGATCCAGACGGACACCTAAATCATTAACTATATTATTTTTTTCCAAAGAGCAGCCGTTTAGCGTATAAGTTGCAGGCTTACGAGTGACACGGGAGAATGTCATTAGCTTGCACTTAGAGCCGTTTAAGTTTAATAAGTTCACGCAGCACCATGTTTGAAAATAGTTAAGATCTGTCTGTAAGTCTGATTGGCAAGAGCATCGTTATATTGCACACAAAGCTTGACGTCATCAGCATACATAAGTACTCTGGAGTTGGTCAAAACTTCGGGCAGATCGTTGATAAATAATGTAAACAGTAGAGGACCCAAATGACTCCCTTGCGGGACGCCAGATGTAACCCTAAGAACATTAGATAGTTTATTTTCGAAAAGGACCTTCTGCGTCCTGCCATTTAGATAACCTGAGATCCAATTAAGAAGATCAGTCGGAAATCCCATTAAATCGAGTTTCCGAACAAGAAGAGAATGGTTAACAGAGTCAAATGCTTTACTGAAATCAGTATAGATTACATCTGTCTGAAAGTTATTTCGGTATCCCTTTATAATAAAGGAAATAAATAAAGGAATTTTTCCACCTTAATTTTTTCTCTATCGACTTTTACTTTGCCTTGGATAAAAGCTATGACATATTCCGATGTCTGCAGACTGACCCACCATACCACTTTCGGCCGGTAGTCCGGGCCTGGTACCCTGGCAGGGACTGGGATTAGGGCTCTGAGAGGGCTGAGACAACAGTTGGGACCCCCCAGTGGACAAAACGGAACCGGGCAACACCGGGGGCACGGTCGCACCCGCGACGCATTCGGATACCGAATCTTTTTTAGCGCTCGATCTCAGGATTCTTGGAATTTGTCCCGGGGTCGGGGGCAGAGTCGAGGGAGGCTGCTGTGCAGTGCCTATCACTGGTGGCTGGGATCCGCCAATATGCTGCCCACCAGTTGCGGTTTTTTTGCGCCTAGGAGACTCATTTAACAGCTTGAGGCTATTAAATTGAGTATCCAGCGCCAAGAGCATATCTTGAGTTTTCCGAAAACTCAATAATAGCTCTTTAAAACCACCCCCGGTTTGCCGCATAAAAGACATCATTTCCCTCTCCACCTCGCGGCAGGCCTCGCAGCAGTAAAGAGCTATTATTGAGTTTTCGCAAAACTCAAGATATGCTCTTGGCGCTGGATACACAATTTAATAGCCTCAAGCTGTTAAATGAGTCTCCTAGGCGCAAAAAAACCGCAACTGGTGGGCAGCATATTGGCGGATCCCAGCCACCAGTGATAGGCACTGCACAGCAGCCTCCCTCGACTCTTCCCCCGACCCCGGGACAAATTCCAAGAATCCTGAGATCGAGCGCAAAAAAAGATTCGGTATCCGAATTCGTCGCGGGTGAGACCGTGCCCCCCGTTTTGCCCAGTTCCCGGTTGTCCACTGGGGGGTCCCAACTGTTGTCCTCTCAGAGCCCTAATCCAAGTCCCTGGCAGGGTATCAGGCCCGGACTACCGGCCGAAAGTTGTATGGTGGGTCAGTATGCCGTTCCAAAACCCCTTACGGCAATTCCACCAACAAAAAAGTTATGTGTTTTGCGG